AGAGAGAGAGAGAGAGATAACGGGGTAAGGCCAAGTGTCTAGCAGTTAGCCTCGGGTGGAGTGGTCTGGGATGACATTTTTACATGTATGTGTGTATTTTCTTTTCCTTTTTTCTATCCCTCTGTGGCCGCTCGTGATATAGGACGAAGACATCTTCTGTGGAATGTCACGAGATCTTGCTCTGTTCCTCTTGTGATTTTTTTCCCGTTTTCGTCCGCACCACAAGCAAAGCCTGCCTGCGGCCCAGATGTGATCCGAGCTAGCCTAGGTTCTCTTCGTTCTAATTCTTCTAGGTAGGTCACTTTTTTCGTCTCTTTCAGACCAGGCTGCGACCTCATTATTTCATGCCAACTGCCTCTATAGTAGGAAGTAATAGGCTATACTACCTTTGGTAACGCAACGAATATTTTAAAGTCGTGTATTCAGTTACAGCACACCATACAACACTGGCGTTTGCGTTGTCATAGTTGGTCGCTTTTAAGCACAATAGGGGGCTTTCCCGGAGAAAGCTGTTTTGAGAAAATCGAAGGTAAAGTTTTTGCTCCTTGTTCAGTTTCTTTAAAAGACAAGGGGAGTTTTTTTTTCTATAACCAAACAAATATACCCACCAATGAAACCAAACTTCTCCTATAGGCAGGGCAATGCCCACTTTTGGTGTAAGTCAAGATTTCTGGAAACCCGCGAAATCTGGGTTAGCCCCCTTGTCCTTAAAAGCGACCAGTTAAACTCTTCGCTGTTTTACATAGTAGACGTGAGTTCGATCGATTCGAGTGGGGAAGGTTTTTAAAAAATTAAAGTTTTTATCGAGTGTCACCGTCTGATGTTGTATCCCACCCAGTCTGGAATGACTTGATAAGCAGCCCTCTTCCTAAATGGTCTAAATTGTGTCGATGTTGGCGTAACTCATTACATAATATTTTATTGCAAATTACATTACGGTCTTTCATTTTAGTAAGAGTTTTACGGCACTTGCAACACAAAAAGGTCATACAAGTGCCGAGCATTGCAGTCTGAAGAAGCAAGCATCCCACTCCCTTCTTATTTAGTTCTGATATGTTGTTCATGCGAACCACCTAGCCAGGCAATTAAATAATTATTTGAGATGGAGATATAAACTACAAAAAAAAAAAAGAAGAAAAAAAAAGAGTAGGCCTTGTATTTATCATGAAAATAATTCCTAGCAATTTTCCCTTTTTGGGGGAACAGGAGTTCTCCCCTTATTTAATGAAACTGTGAATCATGTTCGATTAAGCGCTGAGCTTTTGAGTCTCCTGCATCTCATTATTGAAGGTTATATTATTGCCCCCATTGCTTGTTACGATGCTATCTCGTTACGGTTGGCCAAATTAATGTTATGTTCAATATATCGCCGTGGGGGTAAAGTAACGATGTAAGGCTTTACATTTTTACACACACACACACACACAGAGAGAGAGAGAGAG